AAGAAAAGAGCTCGGATTTGGGCTCCTCTCGGAGAGCAGTGAAACCTCCCACCGCCATTGTTTTTTTTTTTTTTTTTTTTTTTCCCCATCCCGGGGTTTCCTGTCTCTTATACACATCTAGATGTGTATAAGAGACAGCCCTAGAACAGAGCCTGCATAAACGGGTGGCCGCCTGCCTTAACCTCACACCAGGTACGTGCCTCGTCACACTGCCCGCATCTCCTCTCGCTTCCCACAGTCCTTCTTCTTCTTCTTCTTCTTCTTCTTCTTCTTCTTCTTCTTCTTCTTCCCAGGATCTCCACTACTTCACCACCACTTAGCTATGGGGAGTGCAGCCTGGCTATAGCTGCCCCACGACGTTCTTCTCTCTCTTGCTGCCACTGCCGCGCAGCTTCCTGTCTGTTGTGCACCGCTCGAGCAGGTGCTCGCACAGCACTGCTGCATACTGCCAGCCAGAATCCCCGAATGAGTCGGCCTCCAGGCTGAGCCCTTTGTGCTGGCTGCCAGGTCGAGCTGCATTTTCCCACGCGGTGCCCAGTTTCCATCCCGTGCGCCCTGGGCCCCTTCCAGAACCTTGAGGAGGCCCATCCAGAAGAGGCCTGGGCCTCAGCATCTACAACTGCACCTTGGTTGGGTACCTTCAGGATGGTTGGACATGCTGCGTGCAGCATCTCCTCGTGGGTCCCCATCTCTGCTCACATTGGCCTGTTTCCGGGCCTGCTGCAGTCTTGGGCTGCTGCGTGCAGCATCTCCTCGCAGGTCCCCATGCCTGCTCAAATTGGCCTGTTTTTGGAACCGCTGCAGTTTTGGCTTGCCCGCCATCTCTGCTCTCAGAGACTGCAGTTTTGGGATGTCGTTTCTAGGACTCGGAGATGTGTACTTCTTACATAAGGCAAAGACAAGATAAATGAGGGAAGGTGAGAACTCATAATAATCTCAGAAGGTACAGACGAAAGGACATGGCCAGCACTCCTCAGGAGTCCTCACTCATCCCTCTCAAGCCTTATCCTCAATGTCTCATTTGACTGTGTCTCTCTTGTGCCTTGAGCCATGCCTACGTACTTCACGAGATTGTGGCTTAGAGATGTAGAGCCACCTAAAACCTGCAAGTTTCCCCGTTGCTGGCCATTCCTCTGTCCTGCTGTTTGCATTCTTTCTTTTTTTTTTTTTTTTTTTTTTTTTTTTTTTTTTTTTTTTGGGTTTTAGTTTCCCCGCGCGGAGGTGAGGCAGCTCGAAGCTCTATGCGCTGGCGATCCGGGTTTCTTTTGTCATTACCCGGTTTTGTCCTTTTTCCCCATTTCCCCTCAGTGGCGATTCCTCTTGCGTGCATTCATTTTTTATTCTCTCGTTTCCCGGTTTTGTAGTTTTCCCCGCTCAGGTGGGCCGTTCCTGTGTCTCGCTGTGTGCATTCATTTTTTATTCTTTCGTTTACCCATTCGCAAGTCTGTCGTATTGTGCCTCATTTCTGGAGCTGCTGGCAGCCGGCAGCCGTATCCCGCCTTGATGTTTGAATACAAGTACATAGCATCGGCGACTGCGTCAGGAACATTTGGTTCTAGAGAGGTTGGACATTGCCACACCACTCTCGAAATGTGCAAAAAGAGAATGAACTTCTTGCTAGACCATGGCCATATGCACCCGCCTGAGACTCCAAGTCCACTACTCACCAAGGGCCCTCACCACAACCACGCTCTCCAAGTGTGAAAAAAGACAAAAATGTGGCGGGTGCATCTGGCCATCCTCGGCCGGGAACTTCATTCTCTGTTTGCACATTTCCAGTGTGGTGTGGCCATGCCCCAAATGTGCGAAACGAATCTTTCTCCTATAACATCGAAAGATACCCCACCATTTATTTGGTTTTTCTTTGTTCTTTGTCAGTTTCTTTTTCGGCCACCATATGTTTTGCCTCCTGTGCACGTGATGAGTGGTGCGAGGTCCTTAGGCCGTGCTCACACCGGCTCTGTCTGAACGTATCGGGCAACATAACATTTACTGCGGAACCTGGATGTTCCTGGCAGCGCTGGCATCCATAAATCAGAAGAAATGACAAAAAAATTGAAAAAAAATAAAAAAAATCAGAGGAAATGTCCTGGTGTGAGGAGGTCTATTCCCCCTGCGCAAAATGACGATCTTTTTTTTTTTTTTTTTTGGTTGCAAAATGACGATCTTTTTTTTTTTTTTTTTGTTGCAAAATGACGATCTTAGGGCATACTCACAGTGGGACCTTTTTGGCATTGATCTAGATTCTAGATTCCAGACATTATTGTCATCAGATTCATCCATGGCGGACTGGAATTGCACTTACATACAGTTCCCGACATGGTGCTGTGACTATGTCCTTCGAAGCTTGGCCAGATAGGCTTGTTTGTTTGTTTGTTTTTTCTCTTTTTCAGGCAGGACCGGGCGTTTGCACACCCGGCTCCATGTACCGTTGCCCATCACAAGCCACACATGTGCCCAGGTGAGGTGGTCTTCCCCGACAGTGAGACATGCGCATGGCAAATCTGTGCCTGCTTCCCCTGCGGACACGAAGAGGCAAGCGAGTCGCGGGCGTGTTTGCCCGTGGCCGTTGGCCGCAGAGCACCGAATAACTTTGTGTTATTTAACACAAGCAAACCTTGAATCAGGACTCTTTGTCAACTTTTTTTTTTTTTTTTTTTCAAGTCTTTTTTATTCTCAACTTTTTTTTGAAAGTCTTTTTGTATATTCCCATACTTTTTTCTTTTCTGAATCGGCAGCTGAGGGCGCATGCTAATTTTCTGTGTCCGTATTTTTGCCGTTTCAGCAGACGTCCCAGACTCCCAGTCCAACAATTTTCCGAGTCCAGCAGATAGGATGACCCAAGGGGCACACGAAGAGGGATTGCTGAAGTAGGGCCTTCTTGATAGTTACGGGGACAAAAGCGGAGACAAAGGAAGCGGTGAAGAGGAGACGAAGAAGGAGAGACAAAGGAGGAGGCAAGGAGGAGACGAAGAAGCAGAGAGAGAGGAGACAGAGTGGAAGAGGGAGGTAGTAGAGAGGAGACGGAGAGTCTTGCTAGCTCTGCAGCAGATCAAGTGGAGAAGTAGCGAGACTAAGTGGAGAATCTTCAGAGACTAAGTGGAGACGTTCCAGAGACGAAGTGGCAGAGAGCACGCGGAGAAGTTTCAGGGACTAAGTGGAGAAGTTTCAGGGGCTAAGTGGAGAAGGTTCGGAGAATCTTCAGAGACTAAGTGGAGAACTTCCAGAGACTAATTGGCAGAGAGCAAGTGGAGAAGTTTCAGGGACTAAGTGGAGAAGTTTCAGGACTAAGTGGAGAAGCTTCAGAGAAGCTTCAGAGACCAAGTGGAGAAGTTGCAGAGATTAAGTGGAGAAGTTTCAGGGACGAAGTGGAGAAGCTTCAGAGAGGATTCAGAGACTAAGTGGAGAAGCTTCAGAGACTAAGAGAAGCTTCAGAGAAGCTTCAGAGACTAAGTGGAGAAGCTTCAGAGACTAAGTGGCAGAGAGCAAGTGCAGAAGTTCCAGAGACTAAGTGGAGAAGTTTCAGGGACTAAGCGGAAGAATGGGTTTGCTCACATAGCAACTCTTCTTCACTTCCAGAGACGAAGAGGAGGCGAGGACGAGACAGAGAGTCTTGATCGTCCCGGAGACGGAGAGGAGACGAAGAGGAGAAGAAGAGGAGAAGAAGAGGGGAAGAAGATGAGAAAAAAAAGAGGAGACAGACAGGGTCGTGTTGGGCGGTTGTTTTGGCTGGCTGGGAATTTGCTGGACAAGTGGGACGACGGAGCTGTCAGGGGGCAGAAATGGGACTGAGCGACCAATGGGGCTGAGCTGAGCAAATGGGACAAACGGGACTCAGCCATAGGGGGACAAATGGGACTGAGCCAAACAAGCGGTACCAACAGGACTGAGCCAAACAAACGGGAAACGGGACTTAGCTGAACAAATGGGACAAACTTGAGCCCATATGTGACCAACAGGACCCAGCCATTAAGTTGCAAATGAGACTGAGCCATTAGGGGACGAACGGGACTGAGCCGATAGGCGGACGAACGGGACTGAGCCGAACGAACAGAACAAACGGGGACTGAGCCACTAAGTGCCAAACGTGACTCAGCCATTAGGGGGGTAAAACTGGATCAATGGCACTGAGCCGTTAGGGGTACTAACGGGAGACAGAGCTGGACAAATGGGACCGACCTGAACGAAGGGGATAAACGGGACAGACGGGACTGAGCCGTCAGGGGACAAACGAGACTCGGCCATTAGGGAGGGAACCAAGGGGACTGAGAGGAGACTGAGCCGTTCGGCGGCGGGCCTCTGATGGCTGATGTGGCGACTGGCACTAGTGCAAGCGATGGAGAAGAGGACAACTGGGAGACGTCTTGGTCCACAGAGCTCGAGAAATTGGTGCCTGCATCTCTGACATCTGACACGGCTGGAAGCGTAGATGAGCGGAAGAAGGGGAAGGGTGAGGGGGGGAGGAGAGAGGGAGTTGCTGACGTGGACAAGGCAGTTCCACGTCAGCGTGGACGTGGCGCGTTTACTTACGGCGATACCGGGCTCTACTGCGACCGGCTGTTGAAAAATAACGACGTGGTTCGCGATAGTCGCACTCATTCTGATTCTTTCGATTTGACGGATTTGGAGAGAACGTTGATCGATCGTCAACAAGACGATGCGGACGAGGCGTATCTCCGACCCGGTGCCCATGTGGATGATGGTATGCCATGTGTGTGTGCCTACCTTCTTTTCTTTTTTTGTTTTTCTAAGAAAAAAAAGGCGACGCGGCGACGCCTACAGCCTCTGTCTGTGACTTCCTCTTCTTGTCTTCGCGTTTGTGTTTTTTTTCCTAGGGGAAATCGCAACTGCTCTCGCTTTAAACTTGCCAGTCCGAAGAAAGGAAAAAGACCTTGCCAGCTAGGGAGATATCCCGGGTGCCAGGGTCCCGACGTCACGCCCGCTTTGGCGACTTGGTGACCGGCCGGGCATGACCCCCGGGCATTGGCCCGGGCAGCCCCAGCCCAAAAGGAAAAAAAAAATAAAAAAAAATCAAAGAAATCTGAAAAAGAAAAAAACTTGTGTAGAATTGCAATACAAACCACTTGTGGCTGAGGGTCACATCAGAATTCCTCACGGAACTGAAGATGAAAAACAAAATAACCAAATCACACTAAGGCACCGTCCTTTAAAGTTTAAACCCCTTTAGCCCCTTTAAAATTCATTTATATTCCCCTCCCGCCCACTTGACAGCCAACACTCAAAAAAAGAAAAGAGCTCGGATTTGGGCTCCTCTCGGAGAGCAGTGAAACCTCCCACCGCCATTGTTTTTTTTTTTTT